CTCGTAACGCATACCGCGTCGTGCATCTTGTCAACGCTCATTGTTTGGGATTATAAATATCGACTTGTCGGTTTGGATGCTGTTCGGTGACTAAAGGCATAAATCTTGAAGACGCACCGATCAGAAAGCGTGGGTTAAACTGGCATGAACAAGAATAGAGATGTTCACAGTGAGCCGCAATGTTTCTCTACGAAACACACAAAGACTTTCGGAACGATACGATACACGAGTCGAGAATATTTAATAGGGGGAACAAATTGCGATAAAATTGCTACGTTAGTTTTGCTTTTTACTTGCAAATAGCTTAACGATATCTCTCGATGAGCGACGAAACACGGTGCGAGATACAGAATGTGCAGGTTTGCTGTTTGATAATTTTGACAAGCACGGTATTTTCGATACGTTCGGGGACGTGTTGCTATGGTGCCAAAAGTTCCAGGCGAAGCACGTCTTCGGCACGTGCATCACATTCTTCGTTCGCAGTAAGTTACGTGATTTCAAGCTGGGTCATTCGCGTAAAAGCTGCTTGTCATATAAAGTGTCAATAAGTGGTAGACAATGGCCGATACAGGCGTAGTTTAAATAATGATATTATATTTAAACGAGTCGACTACGACCTGGCCTGCATTTAGAACCGTTGAACTCTACAGCATCGATTCAAGTAGTAAGAAACGTACATAACAATGTTTCTATTCTAGATTTTAAATCAAGGAAAATATTTTGCAGATCTGCGTATGCATGTAGGTGTATCTAATTGTAAGTGATTGCGTGTTTTTTAATCATTGTGTGAATAGACTACACAGTTGTTTATCATTAGTCCCCAAGAGCTTGAAAGTGTTACAGTTTTGCTTGTGTATGGTACTCAAACTGTTAAACGGAAGAATTTGCACCACTGAACGGTGCAACGCTGGCGTAGCGCGAACGTTATTTCTCAATTTGCTTCTTTTGTACTTCACAATACAACATCGAGAACATCGTGCCCGAAAGCAACGATCACCACCGTCATTCTACGATCGGGCAATAAGGAAAACGTTCGATCGATGTTTCGCTCTATCGGTGTTTGGCCTCTGGTTGCTTGGAAAAATTCCGCTTCACACGCGAATCGAACGCACGCGGGTCGTTCCCTCCTGCTATTGAAATCAGGACGCCCCGAGGCGCGATTCCGATCGAAAATTCAATCTGCCCGTAGCCGTCGATCCGATCTAAGTGGATCGCTCCTAGGAAGAAACATCGACGCCTATTACCAGGCTCGTTTCTCACCTCGCTCGTGCGGCCAGAAGGAGGAAACGGACAAAAGCGCGTTCGAGATTCCAATTCGGTCGGGGTTCTCTCTACGAATTATGGCGGATGCTCTGCCCTTTTGCATACTCTTCCAACCGAGTGCCGTGCACGGCTAACCTTTTACCACCCGGAGGATCCAGTTCATTCTATTCGACTCGCAAATATCGTGATCTCTTGGTCCCGATGTTGTCCCAGAGCTGATGTTAACGTCGTTAAGATGGAGACGAAGATTAAAAGATCAGAAGATTTTCGTTTCTTTTTGCAACCTCTTTTAGAAATGTGAAACGACCAGAGATTCTATGCCTCGATCTCGAAAAATTGTGAGACTCGAAATTCGTTGATATAGACGAATATTTCTTTAATAACATTTTGAGAAAAGGTGCTTGGTGCGTCTATGGGTCCATAAAGCGTTGGGATTTATTCGAAGCATTGTTCCATCCCGATTTGGAGGAATGCATTGGGAAATGGGGGAGCCGTTATCGCGATCCATCGGTTGGAAACGCGATTTTCGTTTGGTCTGCGAGCGACCGCGCCGGGGCGCCGATGCTCCGGCGTAAATCACCCGGCCACGCGGAGGTTTTCCGTTGCCAGCAGGGCACCGGGGCCCCGGCGCGGGCCCCATGGCGGTGTAAATGTATAAATACCAGCCACAAATCTGCCAGCCGGCTAATTTATAAATTTCACGCCGATCTCGTAAATGCGTTTCTGATTTAGCGCGTTTAAATTATCGCTAAACCACTTCTAACTGCCCGGCCGTGTAATCGCTCTCCGCGGCGCTCACGGGCCCCCCGAACACCCCCTCCGTGTTGGTATTGCGGCTTTCGATAAATGGCGGCCGCATAATCGCGAACGATACTCCTGCGAGCGCCTCCCCTTTGAGCGCCGAGAAAATATGGAGATTGCCAGATAAGAGGCGACACCGGGATTTTCTGTATTTACACGTCGCGGCGCCCCGACGGCGCTTTTCGGAATGCTCGCTCATTTACCCCTCCGTCTCCGCGGCTTACGCGACCGGGACGTCTCGTCGAGATTAACTGTTCCCCGTTGTGAAATCGCGGGACGCTCGGATCCACCGGTTATTAGCCACCATTCGCAGAAACGTCGCCTTTGCTGCCTCTCTTCGAATTTTTTTCAGTCATAGTTTCAAAAATACACCGGATAAATTGCAATATTGTGAGTAGCTGTTGGTTAGAGATAGGATTTAACGAGGTTCGAGTCCTCTTTGGTTACATAGACAGCCTAGTACTTCTTCCAAAGATTAAGACGATCGAATTCCTCTCACAAAGAATCAAAATTCTTTCCTATTGTTTTACCAAAAGTATCTGTTCCCCTAACCAGCCCCCACAATGCTCATTCGTGAAATGAACCCCATTTCATAGGGGTCAGCGTCGATCAGCGTGGAAAACCCTGGCGTAAATCCACGGTTTTACTGATCGCGGACGATAGATCGATATCGAGTCGATACTCTGTCTCCTCGATCGTCCCGGCAGTCACTCGCTTCATAGAGGGTAATTGAAAATTATTTGGTAATACGCGTGATCGATTGCGACCCGTTAACTCGTTCATACATCACCCGCGTCCAGAGACGCCAGCCCCCTTCCCAACCGGACGTTTCTATCTCTTTCTTTTTTTCACAAACTCCCCCCTCCCCCTTCCCTTTAACGCGAGAACGCTCGGTCGAAGCCTTAGCGAGGCGTCTTAGCGGGGTCAAGTCGACCAATAAATCCAATACGCCACGGTTCGTCCAGCGCGAGAGCAGCAGTTTTACAATTCATGAATTTATTATGGACACCACCGAGAATACCGCGGGGCCTCTGCTATTGATTTATCGTTACGCTTGGCCGACTACGTGGTCTTCTTCTCTGGAGTACGCCCCTGGCGGGGTGAACCACGCCGGGAGAAAATTAAGCTCAACCCTCTAGGTGCTTCCTACCCTCCGCGGAATCTTTTGAGCACGCCTCGTAGCGGGGCGACAGCCATTTTGGTAATAGCTTCTTCGCTGAAGATCGTAGGATGGGCCAAACCTCGTTTTCAGTTAAAATAAGTAGGATTGTGTATGCTCTCGTCATCGATTTATGATTCAAAATACTTCTAGTTATTATTTAATATTCTAGAGCCAAAAGCCTCAAGAAGATAAATAATTAAACCAATTGGATCGATTCGACCCCTATCGAGAAAGCTTAAAATTTCTCCAAATACGACAACAAATCATTCTCTGTCATAGAAACAAATATTCCAAGCTTGTAGACGTATCGTTTACACGATGAAGTTACTGTTCGCATTAAAGACTATCGATTAGGAGATACCTTGGACGCATAAGAAAAATACACACGCAACGTTTACACGATTGAGTTACGAACCTCGTTATATACCGTGTTCAGCGCCGTTAGAATTTCCCTGGGTATCCGGTCGTGAGCAGTTTCGAAAAGTAACGTTGATTATTTCCGACGAAATGTGGAAGAAACATTGGCTATTACCAAAGAAAAATGTATTCGAACTCATAGATAGAACGTTTACACGATTGAATTACGTGGCTCGTTAAATACCGTGTACGGCGCCATTAGGATTTTCCTCGTCGCCTCATTAATTGTGACGTTTCCGGGAATAACGAGAACCATCGATTTTAACAAACAGCCGATGACGATGCAGCTTTTTTATTTTTTATTTATTCGTTGTAAAAGCAACGGTCTCCGGATACTTACAATAGCCATCCGTTCCTAGACAGCGGGCAAGAAAGTCGTTCTCTATCGCCAAACATAATGCACTCGAACTTGCGAACATGACGTTTACACCTTCGAGTCGCGAAGCAGTTACTCCATTAGTCGCGTGAAATTTTCGCGACGGGGATTCATCAATTTCAAAGATAGGACAGACGTTTGCTCTTATCGAGGAAGAATGGTTTAGAGATTGAGTTACAAACGACATTAAAGACAGCTTATGGCGTCGTTAGGCTTTTCCTGATTACCCCATAACGTGAAATTTCCAAAAGATAAGAAATATTCGCTATCGTCGAAGAAAAATCGATTCCAACTCGCGAACGTTTACCCAATCGAGTGCCTCATCAAGTATCGTACAGTCGCCGTTAGAATTTCTCTATCCTGCTGGTCCTGTGAAGTTTCCGTTTAGAAATAGTGTTTACATGTCTCGTGAACCTCGTTAAATATAATATACGGTACCGTTAGAATTTTTCTAGTTACCCCAATAAATTCTGCATAATTTTCCAGAACCAGACTCCATTGTTATCAACGAAAAATGAAAGAAAAACATATTAAAACTTACGACTATAGATCAGCAGTCTATGGAGCCGGTTAGAGTTTCAATCGTCGCAGGGCCAGTGTCGCGAATTTCCCAGGTAGCAATGGCGGCCGTGGACGATGGCCGAAAGCGGAAGCGCGTCGTTGTCCATGGTTAAAGACGACCTCGTCCCGCGAACGCGCGGCAACCACGAGGATGCTTCCACGACTGAGGGAACCCGAGGTCGAATCAGTACGCGGACTTACCGTAGAAATTCCGTAGTTCATTAATCAAGCAACGCCCGGAGTCGGAATGCCTTCGTATTTCGAGAGTTGCAGTCCATTTATCACGGCGGAAACGTATTTGTAGGCAGTGGCTGTGCCCGCTTCGCTAACAAGTGGATACGCTGTCCCCGTGGATGATGTAGCACCGGCTAGGCACGGGGCCCCCTACGGCGTCTGACACCTCGAACCTTACAACCTTCGAACCAAACTCTCTCTCAACCCCGGCGTACCCCGCGTTTAACGAATTTTCTGTGGAAAAGCTCGCGGGTATAAAAACCCACGGATGATCGAGGGAGAGAGAGAGAGAGAGTGAGACGGAGAGAAGAAGGATGAAACTGGTAGAGTTTATAATCGCTCGTGGATGTTCTGGGTGTCTGTGATCGTCTACCGCGACTCCTTTGGCGGCCGGTTTCGAAGTCGTCGCCGTTTCCGGTTTCGGTATTCGCGTGATTTACAGGGAAAAAATCCACGTCGGACGGCCGGCATTCAATCTTCGAACCGCGAGCCGAGACCAGCCGCGCTTTCAGCGAATTTTCCGGTCAAAATGGCGGGGAATTCAGCGGCTTAGCGGCGCGCGAATCTCGTCGCGACGAGAGGGTGTAATTTATCGAAGCTCGCGAGCCTGGATCAGCGACGCGTTACGTAAACTACAAGTTGTAGGGTGGTTTTTTTTTCGCGTCCGAAGAGGGTGTAAATGAAATATTAAAATGTCGCCAACGGAGGAAGGAAGAAGCGTCTTCAGCGCTGGCACGATAGACGGGACGTTTATCGATGATCCAGCGATAATTAACCGCTCGAGCGACTTGCGTGGATCGTTATTAGCATCGTTTTTCTCTGTTTGGTTGATTACAAGGGCAGCGGCGAGACTGTTTACCCTGACGTAACCTAATTGGTCCGTCGTGCATCAGGATGAATTATGTAACTCGTAATTGTGTCTGTATCGTGACTAGCGATTGTTAGTGCAAAGTATCCTAGCGCCAAGTCGTGTTCGTGTTCGTGTTCGTGTTCGCGTTCGCGTTCGACTGTATATTGTTGCACGATGGATGATCAAATTGATACGATCGGATGAAAATATTACACGTTTTATGCTCGTGATATATTCCTTTTCCAGAGCAGAGCTATTAGCAAATGTCTTCCATCTTCAGACATAGGAAACTGAATTCCGTCCTGGGAGTAGGAGTTGCCCACTTTCATCGCGTGTCTCATCCCACCGAAAACCTTGACATTTCGCGTAAATGGATCCAACGACTCCCGAACGAGGTATCTTCCGATCGTACATGTGTACCGACCAATCAGCTTCGACGATATTAAGTTGTTATAGAGCACGGAGTTCATCGCTAAGAGCAGCATCCATCAGCTATGCTCTATCCCTACCACCGCTTGGACTACTAACTCTTCGTCTACCTACATATCTTATTTACATATTTCTATGTCATCATTTGCATATTCTGCGTATCTACTATCTAAACTCCGAGCCTCCTAGAAGTGGCACATACTTGATTAAATATACGATCCTTTTGTATCAACACAAAGGAAACGCTACGTAATCTAGTTTACATTTTAGTTTCTCAATATTTTCTATTTTTCAGAATACACGGAGGAGAATTCAGGCTAGAAGAGCGACGAGGAGGATCGTACGAAAATCAACGACAGAGCGTTGCGTAAAAAGGGACAGTAAAAAAGGATTGCAGACGATGGTGAAATATAGTAACGACGCACTATGGCGATAAAAGAGTATTAATCACAATATTTCACGAGATTCCGCAACGAATGACAGAACGTGTGCAACCGCACGTTAAATCACGAACGCCGACAAGTGGATTAACCTGGGCGAAAGGCTCGTCGACCCTGCGTCAGTTTGTCGCGTAAATCGACGGCTTTCCTTTGCAAATGCCATAAGGGACCTTTATGCGGTTCAAAAAAACGTTGCATTCCACGTACCGTTCTCCTTCATGATGAACGAGGTGCTGCAACGATTATAAAAATGTCCTCGCGGGCGTTGCTTCGATCAAAATCACAGACATTGAACAGAAATTTCAAGCTTCTGTCATTAATTTTCTGTTGTTCTTTAGTTGGTCGATACTTGTAAAAAAATCGTACGTTTAAAAGATCATTGAATCGGACGAATGTTCGCCAAGAAGTCGCATCCGCTCGGCGAGTCGCATGCTCGGGGCATTACGCTTAAGGACGATGTTGCAAACGTTCATTATAAGGATGGAACTCTGCATGGGGTCCCCGCGGAGTCGACACCCATCCCTGGGATGCTGTATTTAATTTCCCTTTAAGCCGGCCCTACGAAACTAATGAGACACGCGCTACGGTTACCGGAAGTGGACATCGCGAATTTATTAATCGGGCCTCTCCTTTCTTTTCGCTCGGGCCTCCTTCGTCCTGTCGTTGTCGTCGAAGGGAAAAACTTCCTCCCAGGTACTTTCACGAAATCAAACATACTCGTTGTTGAATCACAGAAAATAGAATCGGAACTATTTCTTAAATACTGTCATCCTTTACTCCGAATAAGAGCGTTGCGTTAATGTTTGTCCTGGTAATTAGGGGAAGGGGGCTGGTATTTACTTAATTTTAACTCCGGTGTATGCCCAATTCAACGTCATATTCGGGGAATTTTAACGATCGTTCCGATAGTCCGCGAAAGGGGCCAACGTAAATACTTTTCTTTCTCGTATTAACTTCATTTCAATATCGCGTCCGATTCGACGTCCCCCTCGGCGAACTTTAACGATCTCTCGATTCAATATCGCGGTTCGAAGAAAGAGACCTGTCCGTTACGCGTACTTAGCTCGGATTTAAACGACGACTAATTAATTTAAATTGCGCTCTTGGAATTTCGACGATCCTGGGAGTCGAGCCAAACGCAGTCCGCGGAGATGAGGGACACAGCGAAATTGCTCGGGGCATATTCGAGTGGTATGTTTGCTACTATTAGATCGGCAGTCTTAATCCTTCCTTTCCACGATACGTGATATTCGTACACTTCGACTTGGTCTACTTGCAACGATATCGAAAGATATTAACGATATTAACACTAGATGGAAGGACATCGATTGCACGTGTTTTTATTTAAAATTATTAAGTTACGTTAACATGCAATTATTCTTTTGATCTGGGCACATAGTCGTATCGTTATGGTACTTAAATTCAACATAAATTGTTAACAAATAATATTTACGAGTACTAAAATCTAGCGTTAAACCGAGAAAATGAAACCGATAACCCGTTATCTGAAGTTCTAATGAATTACGCGGTAATTATTTCGCTGTGCCTCTGAAGTTCAACATTTCACGCATACCGATGTCTTTCTGGCCTCCTGAACCTTTCACTCCCATCGAACCGGAATAATAAACCTAATGGACGGACGATGAAGATATAATAAATGACACGGAATCTATTTCGATTAGTTCACGCCCCTGACTCCGCTCGATCGAAAAAACAGCTGTATTTTAAACGCGACAGTTTAACGATGTCCTGCGCCACTTAAACCATATCACCCGTGTACTCGAATTACGCGATCACGGCCATAATTATGTTTTTACACGCAATTCTATGTATTCGCGTACGAGATACAGTCTTTCCTCCATGGAAGTATACGTCTGTTTAAATATTAGTTCACAGAAGAGTAATTCTTCTCGACCACATTCCCCTCAACCTGGAAGTAATCTTTTCACCTGGAGAGCTTCAGAATTAATTAGCCGCGTAACTCGAGGACTCGCTTTAACGATATCGAACGACTTTCTAATCTCAACGACTCCCGGGCTCTTATTGAACCAGAAGAATAAAATTGATGGCCCGTTACCCGTTATTCTAACAAATTACGTTGGCAATCGCTCCACTGGGCCTCCAAAGTTCAACTCTTGCCGCGTACCAACGACTTCCTGGAATAATAAAGGTAACGTACGGTCGATGAAGATTTAATAAACGGCGCGAGATCCGTCTCGATCGGTTTCGCGATCGAAAAGAAACGGGAAACTGTATCTCGAGCGCGAAAATTCCACGGTGTCCCACGACCCTGGGACCCCATCGCCGCCCATGCAAACACTCCGAGGCGTTCGCGGCTCGTTTAACTTACGAGTTCGTTGTATCTTCATCGTCCGCTGTGCCTCGATCCACGGAACGATCCCGCAGGAACCAGTTCGCCGTCGGTGATCGGCAGGATCGTAAAACGAGCGTACGGTTCACGCCCGGTTACGTCTGTCCCTGTCTCGACACGATTCCCATGCCTATGGGGCCATTATCCGCGCGAAATACCCGGCTAAATTAGATTGATATTGAGCTAAACTCGGACGCGATACGACGACGACGACCCCGGGCATCATCGGACCACGACTCGCTCCGGGATGATGATTGGCACTGTTGGATCCGCACCTGCTGTTTCATCGGAATTCCCGCGAGATGAGATTCCATAATTTTCTCACGATACACGCGCGGAACCAGTCGCGTTTCCATCGACGCGACGCCGCGTGTGTTCACCTCCGAGCGATCGACCACGGTCTCCTGGCGGAACGTCAAAAACGTAATCATAAAGGTTAACTGGAAGATTAATAGCGGTCGGATCGACCGTACGCCAAAGCGGATTTTTGAATTGAGACGTGTAACGGCTGCGTGACGAGTGGCTCCGTTTTCGTTCGCCGGCCGCGGACGCTCGTTCGCGGCGACAGAATTTTATACCCCTCCCCGCCCCCGCCTGATCATCGTTACCCTGTCTCTGGAACGTCAGTCACGCTCCGACGGGGCCAGCATCCTACGCGTCAGATCGAAACATGGGAATATTCACCGTCAAATGTGCCGCGCGGACGCTTCGAGCAGGCAGGTGGCGCTAGCGGACGCAACTCCGCTCGATCGTACGATATAGATCGAAACGATTGTACGTAGCGTTCAACCATGGCAGAATCTCGATGTATACATAGACAAACTTAGAGAAACGTACAAACAAACTAAATCATACAATTTCAATAATATGAAATTTTCCTTGACCTCGAATTTCAATAATCTGAATATAAAATACGACAAGGCCACGTTAAACTACAGCCTCCCATTCTGTGCCCCGGGAATACCACTTGTCACGCAGGGTCCCCAACGATTTTCGTCGCTATAGTGTTTCCCAGTGCATAACGAGCACATAAATACAATTATTCGGACAAGGATTCCTCAAATGATTAACTATCGGTGCGTCCGGCGTACGTTTTTCCCACAGATATCGTATCAGATCCGACAGAGGGTACGATCTATCCGGGGGACCGAACGATCGAAGCCACCGGGTCCGTATCGCCTTTAATTCTGATTTAGCCCCGGGCGGATTTCCACTCGGACGACCTCTCTAGGGGGTCGACCGCCCCCACCGAGGTATACCGTTCTCTCCCCTGTCGCTCTCTGTGGTCACGAATTTACAGGTAACCCCTTATCCGGCGCTGATCTCTTCGGGAACGCAGGCTCATTTAAAACAATAAACCGGGACAATTTCATAAATTTCGCCGCGGAAATCTCGCCGGATCTCGGCAGAGTAATTTTAATCAGGAGTGCCGGGTCGCGCCGCGGGACGTCCGACCAGGGAGCGTAGAAACCCACCGGGGCCCGCGTCGACTGCACCAGGGACACCCCCCCCCCCCCCCCCTCGGTTGGTCCCTTTCTCCGTTTACCGCGGTCGAAATTCGGGGCCCCACGCTACTAATTTACCGCTACCTGGGACACATGCGCGCTCACGGGCGTTGTTTTCTAAGTTGAGTTACGGCGGCGATGGACCGGGAGCGGCAGCCACGCCGGGTCCCCCTCCACAGGAAAGGGTATAAATAATTCCCGGTCCCAGGACCCGGGGAACGGACTGCCGGGCACAGGGGGCGGACGGGTGGTCCATATTCGTTTCTTCTGTTCCCACTACCGTACACTGTCCCCCCGATCTTTCGAATCCTCGGTGCAAACCTATTACCCCATCGATGCTCGATGGAATTGCAACCCCTTTGGAACCAATTATCTGGTTCTATTATTCTTTACCTGAAAGTCGTAGACAATTTCTAACTTTTGTACACGAGTGTTCTCCGTACTGTACAGACCTTGAGGGCATCCAGCCATTTTGCATTTAATCTCTTCCCAATTAGGTCGCTCTGTCTTGCGATCAAGATTATATTGACTAGAATCTGTTTTATCGATCTTTTAGAAGAATTTCACAGAACACGTCAGATTTCAACTCCCTAAATCGTATCTTCATCGCGGTTAATAATTTTTGCAGATTTATTTGATTTGCACATTTTAGACATAACCCTATTATGCATTTAGCCTTAAGATTCTACTTGTACTAGGGGCTCACGTTCATTAATTAACAATGTAAGCAAGATATCAGGAGCTAAGAGGTGGAAAGGAGAGGTGAACGTTTCGTCCTGAGCCTGCTAATGGACCTTGCGAGTACTTGCGAGAGAGCGGTCTCCCTGGTGGCGAGTAAGGTGTCGCCACGATAAAAAAAAAAACTAAACACTGTACCAACGCGAACAGTAACCGCAAATATTCGCGTACCGGGAGTCGAGAGATCCGATCGAGTTCTCGTTGGTAGCCCGATTTCGATCGAACCAACGCAGGAAAATCGGTCACGCCCACGGTCGGGTGGCAAGAATTCGGTGACCCCGGACCAGCCTAAGGCCCGGAATCGTAACCGATAAACGATCAGAAAATAGACCAGATCGCGTCGCGACGCTCGGCGTTCGTAAAACTTTCACCGAGGATTTCCCACGCGGTGACGTCATCGGCGTCACTCCCGCGCCGCGCAGGCTGTAACGGCCGCCTGTCGATTACTCAATGACTTATAGTTACCGTGTTTAAATACGGAGACGTTCACCGCGCGGCATTAATAGCTATGATTTCTCGGCGTCGTGATGCGTAGGCAAAAGTTCGCGTGAAATGTGACCGGTCCCGGGGAGGTTTTGAAATCGGGACGCGGTCGAGTGGCAGTTTGCCGCCTCGGGCGACGAATTTTTCAGATCGCGATCTATCGAACGTGGACGCGAGGAGAGGGGGGTGAAATATAAATAAAAAAAAGAAAAAGAACCCGAGCCTCGAGCGTCGTCGACGTAGCCCGGCGATCCTCGTGGTGGACGTTGATATACGCGGTACGCGTTTCCAGAATACTGTCGTCGAATATAAATTTCGATATTAGTAATACGCAAGAAGCGTTCCGAGCGCGTGTTCCTCTCCCTCCCCCCTCCGTGTCTCTCTCTTCTTCCCGGCTGCCGTGACCGCAGCAATTTTCGGGATTTACGATCGACCGTACGAATTAACATTCGGTTCCGATCGAATAGTACACGTCTGGTGAACTACGGTTCGCTCGAACACGACACCTGCGGCAAAGTGGCCGCGATAAGAAAAGGCGAGCTGCCCCAAAGGGTTACCACGCCATTGTTTGCGGAAATATTTAAATCGATTCTCGAATGTTTCTAAAATCGTGTTATTTGGAAGACGCTTTTACGCCGAGGTGGCGTTAAAATTGTATAAATGTATTGCTGCGACTGTCAGAATCAACGTTTATGCTTATCAACGCTGCAAGAACGGAGATGCCCAACGTGTGCATAGCGGAGAGCAGCTCTTGACACACTTGGACGTACAAAATCAACAGACCTAACGCACAAATGTTGTTGTGACTCTGCAGAGTCGATGTATGTTAGTGGAATAACTCAAGTTGAAAGATTCCTCGTAGTTTCAAAGTCTGTCTGCAGTCGATTTCTCTCGATCGAACAATTTTACCAGTGGGCATCCAAAACTCTCAGTTTCCGTCCAGAAAATGAGATTCCATACGAGTTAGAGCTTCTATTATTTGTAATCGCGACGTTTAGAAATTCACAGTCCCCCCCTCCGGGGCAACGAGACGTTATTTATGGAGCACCTGTTGCAGGGTCAGCGTCGTGTAGCTCGAAATTATCATAAGTCGACCGATCTCGACCTCGGCTCTGCCTTCGTAGACATCCTCCGCGCGAATTATATTTAGTCCTCGGTTCCTCGTAAAAAGATTCCTCTCGCGTGGAATCCGATCGCATCTCATTCAAACGGTGCCAAGATTCGGCACACAGGGATAGTTTAAATATTCATCAGCCACGATCGGGAATAAAAAGGAAAAGAAATAAAAAGGAGCGAAACGAGGCGTGTGCAGATCATCGGGGGCGAGAAGGAACACCACTTTACGATGGCAGGTATTAATTTACCGAATAAAGATAACACGTAGCCACGGGTCTATGGTAATGAGACAATTATAAATTCCGTGAAAGCGTCGCGCGGGTAAATCATCGTCCGCTCGATTCCGTTACCGGGTCCGTCGCGAAACAGTTCGAAAGGGAAACAACCGAGGCGGAGAAAAATCACCAAAATTGACAGCAATTTGCGACGCTCGTAATCTTTGGTCCTCTTCATTCACACCGAGCGCGCGCAGGACCAGCCCGGACACCATCATCATCGCCCGGATGAGGTCGAGAGACCATCCCGCGCGCCGGCTACGTGATCGGTGTGGTGTTACAGCAATTTCTACGATACCGCGCACGTCGCCGTACGTGAGCAACGCGTTGTCGTGAGCGCGCCCGACCCAACAATAAGGAATCCTTAAGGGGTTACACCACCGTAGAGGCCGAAAAATCGAGCCAATGTTTGTAATTTTCTCGTGGTAACCCCATACCCCTTAATTAAATTGTTAGTTAACACGTCAGTAATGCGCAGTTCTGACAGCTTGACTGTTCCATCGAACGCAACCTGCGCAGCTGTCGGCAACAATAAATCCTTAACACGTTGACCGCCACACCTCTTACCCCCCAACCAGGAATGTCTTCGATATTGGTTGTGTCATAGCGTAACGTTGTTCAACGTTTCGCGAATATTAGAGATTCGAACGATTTTATTGTGAATATTGGTCCCCTTTTTCGCGAGGAGCACGAGTGATACGACGTTGGTTGCACTGGGGTCCCAAGAACGCCACGTAGCCGGTGCACACACGGCGTGTAGGATGAAGTCTTCCCCACGAAGCGGCCATTATCGTTATGATCGCGGCCAGGTAGATGCCACCCCGTGATTACTGTATCGGCCGGCGATCGACGGCGACAGGACTCGCCATTATGCGATCGACACCTTCCGAGACACGTTCGCGCCGTAAATCATCGGCTAAACGGAAAAGCCCGTTGGCTGTATTTACGGACGAACGCCGGGAATGTTACACCATAGCGCGCGTGCACGCGCCTACACGCGCATTGATTTCACGCTCGGGACCGCGGTGGGTGTTGGCAAACACAAGGCCCAGCCGAGAACCCGGAGAAAAAAGAAATAGCGGCGGCGCGTTGCTGACCGCTGACGGCAACGGGGCCCTACGCGGGGAATTCAAATTGAATAACCCTCGTTGGGGGCCACCAAGCATTGTTTAATCAATTGATCCGTCGCTGGGCACCGTGACCAAGGAAATTGCAAGATCGTTGATCTGTGAAAAGACGTTTTCCATGATTTGGAGCATCTCGGAATCTTAAGGGAGTGGAACAAAAGAGAGATACGAGTATCATGAAGATCCAGACTCTATATTCTTGGTAATCCCTCGTTAATGTTCGCTGGAGGAACCTCTTATCGAGGAAGGTACTACGTTCAAAGTTTGTTCATTCTACAGATTCTGAGATCGATCAGAAATTGAAGTGCACGTGTAGTTTCTTGTATGGATAGCTTAACTTTAAAATAGCGAATTTGTTAATACTACTATTCATTCACCAGCAATCAATAGGTCCTTGAGTATTTATTTCTTTTCACCGAGGGAAAGTAGCGACCATTAACGAGGGCCTACCGTAAGTCGAAGCCCGAAAAATGTTTGTACAGTGGACTAACGACCATATCGAAACCATTATCATTTAGCATCCCACGGATACACGTCTTCTTTATGTAACAGACTATTAGCATCCGATGACACGATTCTCTCGATCCGATCGATGGAACAGGTTCTGTCGATAGCACCGAAATTTTTCCTGCGCAATACTCCGTTCGTGACCGAGCATGGCGACCTTAAACCGGGCGGACCGAGCTGGTTTTAGCTCGAGTGCCAAATTGCACTTTACCACCGCGATTTACGATTATTCTAGGTCCGCCCAAAATGTTTGAGAACCGATCGGGGGAAACAAGGTCGGCGGTGGATGGTGTGAAATCGGGGCTAGATCGGGCCCGGAGTCAAGGATACAGATGTCTCGTTCATTATGACGCGAAACGAGCGAAAGAAAAGCAAGAGGTGGATAGGAACCTGTCGTGACGGGAAAGGCATGAAATTCCCGCCATTCATGGTGTCAGCTATTAACGGACGTACGGCGTCTACATCCTTTACAAG